ATTCTAGAAAGCATATACTAAAAAGAACATAGACAGAACATTCTTAGTATATTCATAGAACATTGATGTTATGTGGGTTTCGACACCGTCAATCATTGTCATTTATTAAATTCCCTTGAAAATATGAGTATAAGTGGTATAGCCAATAAATTAATGAAGTCTTACTTAACAAACAGTAAACCGAAATACAAAATATCACCAGCATCGATCAAATAGTCTCATGTGGTGTACCTCAGGGAACAGTATTTATAGTCTACCTGCACAATCTCTTTTTAGTTGAAAGTAAAGCAAATATATAAATTTATAGCTTTGAAGATGACACAGTAATGCATTACGAAACTACTGACTGGAATAATTTGAAAAAATTGGTAGAGGAGGATTTCCCCAAAATAAAAACATAGTTTGACTATTGATTACTATCTATAAATTTCAAAAAAACAGTATACCTACCTTTTTGCAGTCTAGCCTTCAGTCTTCCTGAATTTTAAAATATATACTACCTAAAAATAAATATTTAGGGATAATAGTAGATAGCCACTTGCGCTAGGACAAACATACTTGTCTTATTTAAATTCATATAAGTATCACCAATGCTAGAATTACCAACTATGGAAAAATTGGTTGGGGTGGAGTCACTAAAACGCGCTTAAAGCCAATCGAGATTACTCAAAAAAGTTTTTTTAAAATAATGCTCAACATATACAGGGTGGACCGGATTTAATTTGCGTATACAGAGATCTCGTAAACCGTAAGATATACATTGTCGGTTAAATGGGGAAAAAGTTTCGTATTTTGACGGATAATACATTGGTCCATAGAAGTTCCAGATTTTCTAACTGGTTCCGGAGATATTCGATAAAATCCGAAAAACCTCATTTTGGTTTTTTAAGTCGTGCGTTGTTATTATAAAAGATACAAAAAAAAATTATACGAAGTTTTAATTATAAATCAAGTTCTCTATAATCCGCCATGTCAAAATTTTTATTACGACGTTTCGTATTTCCAGGGCCACCTTCAACTTATTTTTTTTTAAATACGGATCTGGATTTTGTAATGTAATTTTTTATAGCTTTTGTATAGCTAAATACAACGATATGTTACACTTTACCATTTTACTACGATTTGTCTATAAAAATATCATCAGCTTTGTAGCTTCTGATGATACCGTTTCTTACTTGATTAAAACAAGATAGCTAATTAAATAATAATTAAAAAACAAAAAATGCTTAAAATGTGAAATTTTAAATATTATTTGAAACATAATACAAGAATTATTTAATTACAAAATGGGTTAGAATTTTTTATCAAACATATCAAACAAGACTAATGAAGAACGAATTATGGTTGTACACATTCTACAAATAATAAAGCTAATAACAAAAACAAAATTCAAAAACAAAAACAGTCACAATAGTTGCTCAAAATGTAGTCTATTCTGTTGGATACAGAGTGCAATTCTCCTAGACATTTGGGATGTAGTTTTATCAACCATTTCTGGTGTAATTTTTTCAAATGCATCTACTATTCGTTGACGAAGTTCTTGTAGATTATTTGGCATATTTTTGACGTAGATTTGGTTCTTTACGAAGCCCCATACAAAATAATCCATGGGGTTAAGACACGGAGATCGAGGAGGCCATCTTATTGGTCCATTGGTACCAATCCAATTACCTCTAAAATATTGATCGAGATACTCTGCAACCCTCCTCGCATTGTGTGCACCACAACTGTCTTGCATAAATTATTGAAGATTTTGTCTTGTCTGTAAGGGCATCTGATCGAGTACTTCCTCTAATAAATGTAGGTATCGAAACTGATTTAAATTACCATCCAAAAAAATCGGCCCAATAATCTGATTATTGATTAGTCCACACCACACATTTTGGGTAAAACGGAACTGTGGTCTAACTTCTCTGATTAAATGGGGATTAGAAGTAGCATACAAATGCTTGTTCCTGGGATTAAATATTCCACTATTAGTAAAGGAGCATTCATCCGTCCATAATATCTTTTTGTTGAAAGAACGGTCATTGCGCAGTTTTCTACTATACCAACGACAAAACATCAGTCTTCTATCAGAGTCTCCAGCGTGTAATTTCTGGACTTTTTGAAATTTATACCCGTGGTATTTATGTTTCTTTAAAATTCTTTTAACTGTGGAGGTTCCTATTACACATTCTTTAGCTATTCGCCTAGTAGAATTTTCAGGGTTAATATGTATTTGGGCAAGAACATTAATTTCATTATCAGTATGTCTAACCTGATATCTAGTTCTCCTTTTTTTCACACTGCTATGCTCTGCCATATTTTTTGAAATATAAGAAAACATCCTCTTAGATGGCTGTTGTCTATCAGGATATAAATCTAAATAAGTCTGAACGAAATACGAAACTTTTTCCCCATTTAACCGATAATGTATATCTTACGGTTTACGAGATCTCTGTATACGCAAATTAAATCCGGTCCACCCTGTATAGAAGATATCCTACTGAAAATGTGTATCAAGAAACCCAGATATTTAACTTATGACAGTTATTCTATCAAGCAGCACTCACCCATCAATTTCAAAATCAAGATGAACTGCAAAAACCGTTGCATCAATATGATACAAGAATCAGAGACAATTATTTGCTACCACGAATGAATAAATCAGACAAAATAGCTATCAGTTTTTGGGACCAAAAATCTTTAACAGCATTCCAACGGAGCTCCGAGAAATAAAAACAATAAAAAAATTTAAAAGATATGTAAAAGAATTTATAAGAAAATTACCGCGAACTTTTTTCTGTAATATAATCGAATAAAAAAAAAAGAAATTAATAATTGGAAAGTATATTATAAACATTAAAGAATCTGAATATTTTTAAAATGGTTTTTGTCTATGTAGAAGTAATGTTTGTTATATGAGATACTTATGCCGAGGTATATTGTAAATAAATTTTACTTAATTTAATATCAAAAGTGTAAAAGATTGTATTTATATAATTTTTATTTATAATAATAATTTGTATTTTAATTCTTTGCTTCATATTTTCAAATTCTTACTATTGTATTGTTATAGTTATAAGTTTTATTTATTATATTTTTGTCGTATTTTTTGTCACACACAATCTATCATTGTACTTTGTACAGTGAGCAGATTCAGTGACACATTTCTTGTTTATTTACATTTTATTTCCTATTGTATTTTATTGTATCTGAATGTATATATAATATTATGTGTATTATATTAGACTATCGAATAAAATACAAATTTTTCCATTACACCGTACAGGATGTTCATTTAGTCTAATTGAATTCAACTTACATATGGAGTTGAATAATATTCTTATTTTAAATGGCACACCCTGTATTTAATAACTTAAACTGATAGACATTTAAATTATCTTTCATTCCATATAAGATTTCCCTATATCTAAATTCAACCCCTATATCTAAATTCAACGGTTTTTTTTAGTAAATATATGTTTTTATGTTTAACATAGCTATTTTTTGTAAATACTCTTTCCCGTCAAAGTGACCATTGAATTTAAATGTCAAATGCGAGTTTGACATTTCTATTTAGTAAGTTAGATATCAAATGTTCGAAAAATCGAATTTGAAACATGAAAATTTATTCTAAAGCAGAGAGAATTGATATGGTGCTTGTTCTTGGTGAGTGTCATGAACACTTTATTGGCTTCTAGAGTTTACGGCCAAAAATACCCAGATTGAATGTGTAGGAAGGAATATTAGGTTTACATGTTATTGGTCCTTACTTTTTTACTGGTCATCTTAATGGCAGAAAATTACTAAAATTTTTGCGGATAAAATTATCTGGGCTCCTTGATAATGTACCTTTAAATATTAGGCCGAAAATGTGGATGCAGTTATATGGAGCCCCCGCACATTTTCAACTTCGAGTACGGCGTTTTGTTAATAAATGAATTGGAAGAGGTGGTCCACATAATTGGCCTCCAAGAACTCCAGAATTGACGTCGTTGGATTTTTTATGGGGACACATACAAACTGCAGTTTATAATATCCCACCAACTACTCCGGAAGATATGAAAGCTAGAATAAGAGCTGCATTGCAGACAGTAACTGGAGAAATTCTTCTCAAAGTAAAACGATCCTTTAAAAACGAGTTCAGTTGTGTTTAGAACAAGATGGTCGTCACGTTGAACATTTTTTATAATTGATTTTTTGTTTTATTTTCAATTTGTTTCTTACTCTTTTTCATTTGTGTGTAGTTTTCAAATAATTCAAATTTTCTTGTCATTAAATGTTTTTTTTATTAAAAAAATTATAGTTTTGGTTTACATTGAAACTATTTAACATTGAAAAGTGGTAAAAATGTTTATTTCGTTCAATACCATATTTTGAGTGATATTTGCTCTCTCGTTACTATGATTAAAAAATAATATGGTAAAATCCGTATGTTAAAAGATCCATCGAATTAAGGTATAGGGAAATCTTATATAGAATGAAAGATAATTTAAATGTCTATCAGTTTATGTTATTAAATACAGGGTGTGCCATTTAAAATAGGAATATTATTTAACTTCATATGTAAGTCGAATTCAATAATACTAAATGATGTAATGGAAAAATTTGCATTTTATTCGATAGTCTAATATCTTGGCTACGCACATCGCAGGTGACTGTTGATGTGTTTTAACTAACCGTGACATACTAGGTTATGTTATTCAAGCTTACAAATTTAGAATCCTTTAAATGTTTCAAAAACGAAAAGAGATAGGTATAGGAAACATTACAGAAACTTTATTTTTTCCGGGGAATCAAAAGGCACCATCAAATATAGGGTGTTCCCTTTAAAAAAACATAACTTTGATATAAATTCCTATTTTTGGACCACCCTGTATAATCCAAATTATTTTTAATTTGTAGTGTTAATGGCCCTGTATATCCCTATAACAGTTGTTAGATCAAATTGTTGAGGAGTTACGATATCTGCTCTATATTTTTATTAAGAAAATAATTATATTATCTTTCTTTAGGGAAAGTCTAGAGAAAAAGCAAGGGAACGCCATGAAACAATTATGAAATTATTAGTAAGAAGATATGTTACCGCCGAACAGAGAAAACGAGACGATTATGGCATTACTGAAGATGATGTTATGGAAATACGACAAGACATTTCAAGTTTAAGATACGAACTGATCGATATCTTAAGGCAAAACGGAATGAAGACACCTAGAATTAACCTTGACGATTGTCAAGGTATTATGATTTTTATCATGCGACATCACTACACTTCTATAATTATTATTATTATTATTATTATTATTATTATTATTTTTAGTATCTGGAAAAAAAGGAAAGGTGATGGAAAGGAGACTCATGAAAGATTTTCACATAGGCATAGTAGAAGGCATCGTTCAAGAGATGAAAATGAACCCACTAGAGACGAAAAATGTTTTCGGGCATATCGCTAAAGTTATAGGACGAAGAGCAACTTTCAAATCGACGAAAAAAGACTGGAATGCGTTAGTAAAGAAGAACGCCGTTACTAGCGATCCCATTGGCAGTGCGCAAGAGTTGGAAGCTGCTAGAGTTAAGCGACAAAGTATAAGGAAGCACATTCTTAGCAATAGGGAATTGGACGATGAAAAATTAATAGGTAATTTTTCTTTTAATTATGGCCTTTGTCATTGCCAATTAGCCAGACTGATAAGTTAATAGGTATAAAATAATATTGGGATCTGACAGTGAATATGTCATGTTTAGATTGTTGTGAATTTATGAATTTCCTTTTACTTTAAAAATATTGTATTGAGATCACGGCTTATTAATTTAATTATTTAAAATTAATTCTGATGCCTTGGTAGGATTCCCCACTCGAACATTCATTGTTGGGTTCTAATTAACAGTGCTGTTCCTAAAGTGGCACTGGGAAACAGTAACAAAGCCTACACTGAACACGAGGCTAATGGCCGTAGTAGTCGACGCCGATGACACCAAATTAAAAAAAAAGTAACAGATATGGGGATAATACAATTAATAAAGTTATACAACTCATATTTACATATCATTCTCCTCCTCTTCAAAATCTTTCATATTCCTCAAGGTATTTAGGAGGTTTTCTGTTTCTGGCTGGGCCACTTTCTTGAGATGGTAAAATACTTCTAGAGATAGATTTCGAAATTTGGATTTCTAAAGAAGTAGGGACTGTTTCACTCAATTCAACTAAGTTTCCGGTAGTAGCTGATGGGAAATTCAAGTTTTCAGTGGACGTAAACACTAAAGTGGGAGTCAAGAGTAGAACAAGGGAACGAACAACTATCATCTTCAATTTTTTCAAGTGAACTATTCTCAATAATATTCCCTCTTGATGCTAAATGACGATTCGAGACCATTATTTCATTTCCATCGGACATTCTTACATACGAAAATTAAGGATTACTTTTTATTAGTTCGATTTCTTCTACAATTAGTTCATACTTAGATTTACGAACCTGTGTCTTTAATAGTATAGGACCAGTATCAGCTAACCACGAGGGAAGAGATTGTCCATTAACTGAACGTCTACAGTAGTTGAACATCCTTTCCTGTGGAGTGGCGTTTATTGCGGTGCCTAACAAATACCTTATTGAATGGAGAGCTTCATTTAACTGAGAAATTTTGAAATTTTTGGATTTTAACGCTAACTGTATCGTCTTCCATATTGTACCATTTTCCCTTTTAATTTAGCCGTTGCATCTGAGATTATATGGGGTAGAGCGACTCGAGGCAATTCCTCTTCGTGTAAGAAAATCCTTAAATTCTTTAGAAGTAAAACAACTTCCATTGTCGGTATAAATAAAGGAAGGGTAACCAAAAATTGCAAAAATTTTAGATGTGTTTTATTACTTGAGACGTGGATGTATATGGACATGCAAAAGCAAAGGGAAATCGTATTCATCGATTATAGTTATTAGGTATTTGTTAAAGGATAAAGAAGGTAAAGGTCCCTTAAAATCTAACAAAAGTCTTTCAAAAGTAGTGAATGATTAAGATACCTGTTTGTTTAAAAAACAAGGTTTTATTTCTGCACATATTCTACAAGATAACGTAATTTTTCTAATTTATTGCACAGAGTATGATCTTATCCAGTGAACCATCCGTGTTACCCCTAGATGATACAAATATGTATGTAAACTAGGGTGTCCGAAATTGTTTTACCCAGGCTATAACTTCTAAACCATGCAAGATAATCGAACCGGACAAAAATCATCCATTATAATTGGCGGTGTACTTTAAAACAAATAAAAATTTGATGACCCACCCTCAAAAACTACCCCCTGGTACAACCCCCTCAAAAATTATTTACGACACCCTAATTTTTTTCTACTCGTTTTTATAGTCGCTATTTTTCTCTGTACAACTGTTTTTAAAATTTTAAAATCGCTCCATAAATAAGTGGGAAATTTAATAAAACTGTATGTAAAGTTGATGATAAAAAATACTTTTATTAGGTGACACATAATTAAAAAATACATTGAAACAAGAGAAGGAGAAGAAAAGAAATAAATATAAACACTCAAAGAGTAGAAATAACTTATAATCAGTGTTCAAATTGCCCACCTCTCACTTTCACACATTTGTCAAACTTTAATAATAAATTTCTACTACAGGCAGCTCGAAGCATGGCCGGTGTAAATCTGTTACAAGCATGTCTGATTCTATTTTTTAAATCTTCTAAGTCCTCTGGTTTTGTTTCGTATACTACGTTCTTCATAGTACCCCAGAAAAAAACTAGAGGCGACAAATCAGATGACCTTGCCGGCCACTGGATAATTGGAGAATGGGTGGATATAACACGGTTTCCATAAGTGTTTGCCAAATATTGGCTCACAATTTGTGCATTAAGAGCTGGTGTACCATCTTGCTGCCACCACATATTAGGTCTTTGATTAAAAGGAACACCTTCCAATATATCAAGAACGGTAATGATTAAAAAATCACGATATCCTCTTCTCGTTAGAGTGTTTTCATAAAAATGAGGACCTATAATCCTACCATTGAATAAACCACACCATACGTTTATGCCCCAAATATTTTGAAATCTTGTTTCTCTTACCCACTGAGGATTTATTGGGGACCAGTAATTGGAATTATGACGATTTAATACACCATTATTATGGAAACGTGATTCGTCGCTCCATAATATTTTATCTAAGAATGTGGCATCATCATTTAGTTTCACCTGCATTCTAGCGAGAAAGTCTAAGCAAGATCATTAGGGTGTAAACCTTGGACCAAGTGTATTTTATAAGGATAATATTTATTGTCTTTTAATATTCTTTGGATGCTACTTTTGCCAATTTCGAGTGCCAAATCTCTGATGTGGATTTACATGATGTTACCTTCTTTCTAGATTTCTATGTTGTTAATTTATTTAATAAGTGATTAAGCTCAAATTGCTGATATGCGTGGATTCAAAAATTGACCAAGACAAATAAAATCAGAGTAGCTTGACCTGTTCGCAGGCCAAGATCTACTTTAAGATAAAATGGAAGATATTAAAATAAGACAACGACAAAAAAAGTTGAGAGCCATCAAGTTTTTCAGTAACTTGGAAAACTTATCTGATTTTAAATGTCCTGCTTAATTGAGTCCGTCTCTGGTACTTAAAGTTATCTGTATGGGTTCTGGCAAATAAAAGAAAGTGAGAAAATTTAATACATTTAATAAAAAAAGTGAAATTTAAGTATTACATCAGTCTACAAAGTAAATAGTTAGTGAATAGAGTTGAATGAATGAATGATTGTTTAAATTTACTGTTAGATACTTCGATAAATGGTGGTATTTTAGTACGTAGGTACGGTACTTCCCTTTTTTAAAGCTAGGGGCAACTAGGAGCTTCCTGGAGGAGCTTGGAGCTCCTTAATGCGTTTTCATAGAAGAGCCTGGAGCTTCTTAAAGGATCTTAGAGCTTCTTCTTAGAGGTACTACTTGGAGGTACTACTTGGAGGTACTACTTGGAGGTACTACTTGGAGGTACTACTTGGAGGTACTACTTGGAGGTACTACTTGGAGGTACTACTTAGAGGTACTACTTGGAGGTACTACTTAGAGGTACTACTTGGAACCATTACTTGGAGGTACTACTTGGAAGTACTACTTGGAACCATTACTTGGAGGAGTAGTCTCTTCTTGGAGACAGTACTTGAGTACTTGGATACTTCTTGGAGCCACTACAGGTTTAGAAATAAAAGAACCTCAGTACCGTGTATAAAAGTACATATACATGCCAGTTTGGAAATCTTACGGATTTATGCATAAACGGGACAAATATTAAAGTTACATCGTAAGAACAGATTATAAAATATCACGACAAATAATAAAGTTACATCATCTGAACAGAATATAAAATATCACGACAAATATTAAAGTTACATCATCTGAACAGAATATAAAATATTTATAAGGCATAAATTTCCGTTTAAACTGTATTTCCAGACTGACTTATAATTTAATTATTTAGTTGCCTCCCTGCGTATATATCAAAGTAATTGAATCATAACACATTTATATTATTATATATAAGAAAGCTTAAAAAATATTATTAGTTAGGGTAGCTATAATCTATATAAAATGAAATAAAATATAGAAGCCGGCATTCATCAGCATGGTGGTAATAAAAAAAAGCACATGGCCGACCTTAAGTTTTGCAACGAAATCCAGCAAAATGGGAATAAAAGAAAAACATTTACCTGACAGTTATCCCAACGTTCACACGATACACATAAATTAAAGATAATTACTAGAAACTCATTTTATTATATTTATTGGCACAGCTAGGCACTTTTGAATTTAAACACCAGAAAGGGAAAATTAATTCACCGTTTTAGGTTTTATATGAACTGGTTGCTAAAAGAACCGCTATGGGCTATGCGCCGACATTAGCAGATCCTGCGCGAACGATGCTTTTTAAAAATCGATAATGGTAATGTAGTGTAACCAACTGAAATAAAGAGAGACAACTTAACTAATATCTCTCTCTCTCTCTCTGACTAAAAAAATAATCTCAATGTCAAATAAAAATTATAGCAAATTTTCCTTGCTATAACTACAAAATATCAATAAACTTCAAAAATATTTAAATTAAAATATTAAAAGGATGCTATTTTTCACTGATTTAGATAGTAAAATAAGTCATAAAATCAAACAAACTCGTTATTGGAATGCAAGCAATATTTTATGACAGATACAAAAAATTGCCGTCAAGAAAAAGCATGAAATTACTTATAACAGTGAAATTCAAATCTAAATAGTGAACCATCAACTAGTTAAATAATATAAAAGTAATTGAAACGTAATAATTGATTTAAAAAGGCACTCACATTTTTATCACAAATAAAACTAACAAAACCTACACCCTTTTAACAATCACGACATTCCATTCTCCCCGTTCAATCCTGACATTCAATAATTAATTCCCGTTCCTATGACGATGATTCTCTGCTTCTATTCCAGCGCATCCACTACGTTGGTTCCTGGAATTTACCATGTTCAAAAGCGATAGAATAGGTGTAAGCTTTATATTGTCATTCAACGGGGACAGAATTAAATACGATCCCTTTCAGTAATAATGATAGGGCAAGCATACATGTGTTGTGTTACGAGGGGTTATGGAGA